AAATCGCATCAAAGTTGATAGAAGTGGATTAGAATCCTGTGCCTATCTTTGGTTGAAATCATTTCTTCTTACAAAAACGCAAATTAGCCTCCCTTTTTTGTAAGGATGCAAACTGGCCTAATCGTTTTCGTTTATTCAATTTTTATCAATGGAATACGCGATAAAAAATTGGTTGAGAAACTCATAAAAGAACTAATTGTTAGCATTGAGTCGTTGGCGACTTGTCAATGTCAACAACCCGACTGTGTTCACAGCTTTTGTTCTCGTAAATTGCCACTGAGCCACATGGATGAAGGAAATGGAGTTGGCTTTTGGGAGGGAGAGGGAGATGTCTCTGGAAGCAAGATGTTCTACCAAATTGACATTTCCGGATTGTGAGTTACCCTCGAAAAGAAGACAAATAAATGGTTGGGAGAGGCGTTCTACCGTCCTTCCTTCAAATCCTACAGCATAACCACCAACCTACTTCCGTCATCTCAACTCCTCGTGCTTCTTACTCATTTCCTTCTATGGTCAAATTGAGCAACTACCCTCTTTTGGCTAAAAAGGCGCCAAGATAGAAACCTTCCATGACAGGGAAGCAAAGAGCGAATTCCTTTTACTACAAAAAATCAAAATTCATTTACCAGTTCACCTCAATGTAGATTCCAATCACACTCATTTCGGCCTTGACATCACATCGGTTGAGATGACCAGATGGTAAATTTGTCGCGCCTGACTTCAGTCGCCATCTGACAGCTGGGCTACATTGGGGTTCCTCGATTTGGCTGCACGGTATGCTCTCCATTTGGCCTCGAGTAAGTCCCTCTCCTCCCGGTGGAATTATTCACTTTCTTAATCGGATGCTTAAACAGTCCGCATCTTGCCTTTCTTTTGGCAAGTGCTCACATGACTTGACAAGCAAGTTAACAAACAAGTAACCCTTCACTTGAAGAGAGAAGGCAAGATTGCGGATTCACTGGGAGGCAGCAGCAAACGACTCACTGTGTCTCAAGTTGTTATCACCAGTAATGTCCCACTTGCTGAATGTCTACTCCAAGAGGGTGTGGGTCACTCATCTCGACATCATTCCTTCCCATCTCCATACTGTCCTTTTGTAAGGTCAACAGGCCATCCAAGCACACCACTCTTGTTATTGAACTTAGGACAAAATCAAAGTCAAAGTCATGAAGGCTCCGTAGAATTCCATCGCTATTCCATATCGACCACTCCACCGTCAGCTTAATGCTTTTGAAAGGTGAGGATTTGGAAATGATAAACTTGAGTGAGATATTTCTCTTGAGTAGACTGGGCTCATGACCACCCTTTATGCCACCAGAACATGAAGACAAATCGTCGTAAACACTCATTTCTTTGTGTGAATTAGTAATGGAGTGTGTGAGCGAATGACACTGACACAAACTTCGAGATGATAGTTTAATTGCCTGCAATTCATTAGGAATGGAACAATTCACTATTCGCGATAACTCACCTCATTCCATCAGGCTGGAAGAAGGACAAATGACCAAGACTCGATATGGTTCCCTATCTGAAGCGATCATAGCAACCTGCAAGGCTGCAAACAATGGCTAGTGGATGAACGATAATGAATGAATAAATGTGCGGGTACATTTGGAGACTGAATTCTTAAGGAAGTAGGAAAATTAGGACCTACTTGAGGTCCTCCAAGTGCAGAATCTCCCCCACCAGGCATCACAATAACTGCCCAACTGTAAAGAATGTGCTTTCCTCTGAAGACGTTTCCGTACGTAGGTGTGAAGAATTGGCTGAAGTAAACATGCTAAATGTGTCACGATTCATCTTTGTCCCAACGATGGCAAGGTGGGTTCGCTATACCACTTTTGACACAACACTCATAAGAAGATGAACAGACTGCCTGTTCGGCGTCAGAGGGGCAAATCACGGATGTGTGTGCACCCCCGCTCACATTTGACCACACAGTTGCCTCTTGTCGTCTGCTGTATGCCATTAGTCACTTGACTTGCCATCCACCAGCATTGAGTCTGAAGTATACAACAGAAAAACGGAGTGCATGGCAAAGTGTAAGTAGGTAAATTGGTCACGTCGTGGGTGATACATTAGCAATTATAAGAAGAAGCATGCATGTTGAGCCACCAAGTGACTTGGCGGCTACCAACCACGAATGCATTTTTCGCTAGACCAACATATTTATGTCACACATGTCAGGATGGATTAGATTATCTGTGACATTTAGTCGCCCATATTTTGTCAGGTCATGTTTTGCAAATAATCCATTTTAAGCATGCGGCCTCGCTAGACGGATTCACCCATGTCACAAGAGGTGGTGTGACATGCTGCGAAGCGCCCAAATTTCTGCATTGGATGTGCATGTGAAATTTGTACTATCGTTATCCGCGGACACTCACCCACCACTTGTGAACTAAAACGGAGACTGATTTGTGACATAGTGGCCACTTCGAGATTGGGCCAAGGTCAGCCGCCAACGAGTCATAAGTTAACTACCGAAGGATCCAGCTAGATAGTCATTCCCAACTTTTTACCTCAAAAGGTGATAGACAGTCGGGTTGGTGATATTGACAAGTCGCCTATGACTCATATTGTTCTTACTGTCTCGGGATTAACAAAGTCGTGTAAGGACCTCTGTTATCACTTTTAAGCAAAGTAGAGAAGATTAGTTGCTCTAACTGTTGACTTATAGCAGTGGTGACGACAATTGTAATTATAGTTGTGGTGGTAGTGGTGGACTGTAGACCTCATAAACAAACCGTATTGATGTAACCCATTGGCTGAAAGTAGACAGAATAGGAGCGGTCTGGGAGCAAAGTAGCCACCAGCACAAAAGCATCTTAGATTTTAATTGTTTATTTCTTCCTCATTCACAGGCAGTTTTCGGCAAAACGTGAGTCACTATAAATGATCTCTAAGAGTTGAGGGCATAAAGGATCTTATTAATAAATAATTGCACGTATCCCTCCCGCATATGAAACACACACACATTCACAAGAAGAAAACAACAGTTTCCATTTTGAGTAGAAACCACAGCTGCATGGCCGAGTAGTTGGGTAAAAAGTGGTCTTTGGTGGGACGCGGTAGTTGCTATTCCGTTCCAAATGAAGATTCCATCTTCTAAGCCAATGTGTAATTTGTCGCCTCGGGACGATGCCACACAGATAGAATGTGTCACTTCTCCCATGCTGTTTGTTGATGACGATACCAGTGATTAAGCCACGCGGTAGACTGGATTTCGATCCTAGCACTCATCAGGCAGAGTAGAGGCAGCCATCTCAGCCCTCGACTTAACTCACGACTTGACGGCAATTCGAGCCCGATCTCCACCACTGCCTCAGCCGCTGTCTCAGTATCAGTTTCACATGGGAAATTGACGTACACTGATGTGCTTGATTAAGAAGCCGTTGCAGACGTCAACAGGATTTAAAGGGAGTGTCTCGACCATTCCTTTACCTCCATGGCGCTACCCGCTTCGTGGTGATGAATCAATGTGTAATGGCTCTTTGGAAGTGTACACACACAAAACTTTGGCACTCACGTTTCTTTAGAAGGTAGATGTGATGAAGTCAATGTCAGCGCATCGTATCTCCTTAGCGTTGTCTCAAGTCAGAAGCTTACGCAAGGTGTCACGAATTGCACGCCAAGCTGAAGGGCGCAGATGTGCTCCTGCGGTAGCACTGATGCTGCGAGAAGTGGTGGAGGATGAAGCGAACTTCAACAAGGTGGCGTCATGGGCCGATATGATGCTTGTTTTGGACAGTCCAGAGGTTTTGGCGGAAGTGGATCCGCTCTCTCGTGTGCCATATATCAATTGGTTCGCCTTCTTCTGTCGATTCTGGCCGCTTGTCATGGTGAGGTATGGAGGCAACTTTGACGCAGTGCCTGCGCTTCTGGCACAGCAGTACAACAGACTCCT